CAGTTATTCACAGGGTGTACACTAGCGCCCTCTATATGCAGGACACGACATCCCTCCCCCCTTTTAATCTCAAAAGACAAGTAATTTAGTACAAAAGTAACAAATAAAAGAATAATGATTATATAAAGGTTAAAGAAAATATAAGAGAACATTATATAAAAAGGAACATTATATAAAGGAGAACATTATATAAAAGAGAACATTATATGGAATAGCATGAAATTGAACAATGATAATATCAAATAAATCAAACATAATCAGTCATCCAGCACGGCTTCTTCCTCTCTCTTGCTGGTCTCTTTGGTGTGCCAGGACCGTCGGCTAGCTGCAGTCCACCCTCGGCACCTTCTTTGGCGTTCACGTCGCCTCCTCCCACGCTGCGTCGACCTCTGGAACTTGTGGTCGTCGCCGTCCTTTCCACGGAAGACGTCGTCCTCTCCGTAGACTTCCCTGCCGCCAGACCCTGCTGTCGCGGAGTCTCGCCAGCGCGCGGGGTCTCCCCGCTCCTCGGGCCCCCCGGCCCCGGCTCCAGTGCAGCGCCATTGCGTTGCACCGACTGCCCCCGTAGTCCGTCGTTCCCAAGGTCTTGGGGCACTTCTTCACAGACCTTGAGAGGATGAAAGAATGAGACATTTCGCTGGACTGTCTTCCCTTGTGGAGTTTGCACCGTAACCTCTGCCCCTTTCCTGTCGACCACGATAGCTGGTTCTGGGTTCCTTGGCGGATCAGTTTTTGATGACTTTTCTTCATTTTTCCGTAAAACAGTATCTCCAACTTGTACTGTCGATGGGGCAGCTTTCCTTCGAAGATCCGCATATTTCTTGGCCGTAAATTTTGCTTCTCTATCCTTTTCTTCCACCGCGTCATCTTCCTTGTTTTCCTCAGGTAGTGTAGGAAATTTTGTCAACAACGGTCTGGCAGTAAACAACAATTGCATCGGTGGCACACCAGTGCTGCTGTGTGGAGTTACATTGTAGTTGTAGACAAAGCTATACAATGCTGACTTCCAACTCTTCTTCAGTCCTTTAGCTATTTGCAACCTCTTCACAAAATTGGAATTATTTCTTTCAATTTCACCATTACACTGAGGCCATAGTCGGATTTTATGCACATGGACTATCCCCCAATCTTCTAAAAAATCTTGAAACAATTTTGATGCAAAACACGGACCATTGTCTGATGCTAACTTTCTGGGGCGAGACAATTCAATGAAGATCTTCTCTAAAACATTTACTGCGGTGAGTGCTGTCTCGTCCTTGGTCACTTCAATCCGGACATATCTGCTGTAATAATCTGTCAGTGCCAGCAGGTATTTGTGGTCAAACTCGAAGAAATCCACCGCCACATACTCCCAGGCGTATGCTGGTAATGCTGTAGAGACAATTGGTTCCGGGGTGAAAGATTTATTCACCAACTGACACCCGAAACACATTGACACAAAGTCTTCCACAAATCTATCCATGCCCAGCCACCATACCTTGAGTCTGAGCGTTCTCTTCATAGCTGTCATGCCTAAATGTCCCTCATGTGCTAGCTTCAAGGCCTGATCCCACAAGGTTTTTGGAAGGACAATCTTCTGACCTTTCAACAAAAGGCCCTGGCACTCCATCAGCAGCGGCTCCAAGGACCTATACTGTTTCAGTTCTTGTGTCCATCTTCCTGTTCTCAAACATTTCAATATATCTTGGATCTCAGTGTCCTTTTCAGTTTCTTCTAGTACCTGATCAATAGTCAGTGCTCTTGGTACATTATCTTCCACCAGGCGAGCAATCAATTTCTCTTCCTTTGCAACATGTTTAGGAGTACTAGGTTTCTGAGAGAGGGGCAAAAGCCTCGATAATGGGTCGGCTAGATTGGTCTTTCCAGCCCTATATTCAATCTTGAATCGATATTCTTGCAATCTCAATGCCCATCTTTCCACTCTTAAACTAGCAGTTTTAGTATTTGCCCCGTTTTTGAACATGAAAATCAAGGGCTTATGGTCTGTGACCAAATAGAAATCAGTACCAAGCAGATAGAACTGAAATTTCTCGCAAGCAAACACCAGAGCATATGCTTCCTTCTCAGTTTGGGAATACCGTTGCTCCACTTCAGATAGTGCATATCCAGCATATCGGATCACTTTTGGTTGTCCATCCTGGATTTGAACAATTAGGGCTCCCAAGGCCACTGGTGAAGCATCAGCAAAAACATAAGTAGGGGCATTCTTCTTGAAAAACCCCAACACAGGTGCAGTTATAATCAACTCCTTCACTTTCTGAAAGGCCTCTTCTTGTTCTTGACCCCACACAAAGTGTGCCCCCGATTTCAATAGCTTTCTCAATGGGGCAATAATCTTGGCAAACTCAGGCACATAAATAGAGAAGTAGGTGGCTAACCCACAAAAACTATGCACTTCTGACTTACTGGTGGGCTGCCTGAAATTCTTCACCACACTAACACTATCTTCCAATGGCTGATATCCATTCTGGGAAATCTTGCATCCCACAAAGTCCACACTGCTTGCTCCGAAGATACATTTCTCAAAATTCAATGTCATCCCCCCGTTCTGTATGGTTTTAATCACAGCATGTAGCAGCCTATTATGCGCCCAGGCAGTGGGGGCATGAACAAGCCAATCATCAATGAAAATAATTATGCAGTCTTCCATACACATATTATTTTCCTCCAACACCTTCCTCAGTTCTTCTTTCACTTCTGCTGGGATGTTTCTCAATGCTTCTTTCTTCAGATCTTCCATTGCTCGCTGGCACACCTCAGCAGCAATACTTAACCCAAAAGCCATCCTTTTAAATCTAAACATGCCAAAATGTGTGACAAATGTAGTCAAATTTCGGACATCTTCTTTCAATTCAAACTGTAGATAACACCATTTGAAATCTAATGATGAAAACCACTTGCTCCCTGATATCTTGCAAAGCATTTCTTCTCTAGTAGGAATTGGGTATCTCTCCCTCAGTAATGCTGCATTCACATTTCTCATGTCCACCACCATTCTCCACCCAGATTTCTTTTTGGGCACAAGGTGAGGCCTACTAACCCAAGTAGTAGGGCCTGTAGCAACTTCCACAACACCATCCTTTTGCATTTCCTCAACACAAGCTTCTAATGCCTTACGCCTGCTTAGTGGTAATCTTGGTTCCCTACACACAACAGGTTTAATAGTGTCATCTGCATGTATTGACACTTGGTATTTATTGAATCTTCCCAGTATGTTTGTAAACACACCTGGGAAACCTAACCTAATTTTCTCTTTGGTGACCACTTGTTCTAATACTGGTTTCTT